CATAGTTTATCCGATACGAACCACCAATCGTATTTCATTTCGGGCTCCGAAGTTCCACAAAAGATCCACCACACAGCCCGCCCATTGCTCAACCTTTATGAGTCACAAAAACGAAATCGATTCACCAATCAACAAGCATGTTAGCTCAGGGGAAGAGCGCCGGGCTCATAACCCGGAGGACCCTGGATCGAAACCAGGACATGCTATTATTTTTTTTGGGCGTTGTCTGAGCCACTTGGAATGAAGAGCGGCATTTGAGGGCTTCTGTATCACGTGATAGGATCCTTTTTATGTATTGCTTAGGGGCCTGGTGGGTCAGGCTTCTATAGCTTAGTCATCGGTTCCAACTGTGCTGTGTAGATAGCTTCAGCCTGAGCTTTTTCCAAACTACACACATTTGTGCCATTCAGTTCCTCTAGTATTGCCTTGATCCAGCTCCTCTAGTAGTCTTCACCTGCTAATGTCCATTGCCGGTTTCTTCCAGCTCTTCAGTGTTCGCTTCAACTTTATGGGAATTCACATGACGGGATTGACCTAGAAGCCCTATTTTGATTGACCACGTAGCAAATGGCCTCATCAGGACTCTGGATCGGAACCAATATATGGTATTTTTTCTTTTTTTTTTTTTTTTTCTCTGGCATCAGCGATGAGTCATCAGGCACACCCACGATTTCGGTTTTTGAGATATCCTTAAGGTCCCCCCAGGGTGCTCTTTCGGATTAGTGTGGAATAAGCAGAATGTGCAAAATATGCTATAGAAGAGAGCTATGGAAGTGGCTGCATAACATCCTCGAGTTCTCACACCCTCAAAGGTTGGAGGTAGGTATTACGAATATAGACGTACGCATGCAATGCGTTGTCCTCATCAGGTTTCGGAGGTGTTGGATATGATGTCTGTTGACGCGACTGACCGTCCGCAACATAGTTCGCATCCCAGCTCGATGGAAGACCTTAATATTAAACTTCTGCAAGTATTGGGATTCTCGGACTAGTCGCAGGTTTAGCCGGCCTGGGGATGCTGTAGATAGAGATCATGATGTTGTAAGGTAGTTTGAGGAAATATGATCTTGTAAAGAATTGGCGGCTCTTTCGGTGCTTTAATCTATGACTTCAGCTTCCGTGCTGCCTACTAGTATACTATACACGAAAATTAAGTTTAGTGCTGTGGTAGTCTCTTTCTGCGACGGCAAGTGTCCGGCTGAGAAATATAACAGGTTCGACTGCAGTTGATGGCGGTGGGAGTGATTTGCTGGCATGGATATGTCCTTCTTTCAAGTAAAAAGCCATCGCCCCATGACCCGATTCCAAGTTCAAATTGGATACGTTCAGGTCAACGTAAAACTGATGCCAGAGGTTTTTATCCCAGGTGTATCAGATACTATACTTCGGTGCTCCATAGCGGCAACCGATTCGTGGTACCTAATATGTGTTAATCAATTTTAAGCAAAAGTTTTGTGGTTGGGGCCCTATTATTTAAATACACATCTCACTGGAACCTTGGAATATTAATCTAAATTTTACATCTTCTCTGGTAGCTAACCTAGTACGCTTACTTATAGCTTCTAAGTTTCCTACGGTTAGATTCGCTTAACAGCCCTGGAGTACTACTAGCACCTTGGGTGGTTAGGCCGTATCTTTCAAGTTGATATATTGAAAAGATTTTTTGAAAGCATGTATACTAGTAATTTCATAACTTTCGCTGTAGGCTCAAATCAGAAGTTCTTCAGGTACAACGTTGCCCAGTTCTGCCTGATCATCGACGGGGATACATCATCTACCTAGGTAAGATAATGACCGTAATAGTCGCAAGCTGGAGGACGAAAAATATATAAAGGGTGACCATAGTAACACTTACTCCAACAAAGGATAATACTAGCTCGAGTACCGCTCTTTTCACCCACACGGTATGAGATATTTTTGTAGCTAAGCGAAGGATCTCAAAGAAGCACACTGTCCTTGATAAAATTTTTGCTGAGACCCGGGATACATCAGAGCGTTTGGCCTCATGCATGCAGAGCCAGGATAGCCTGCAGCAGAGCCATAGGACAGCGTTTGCCCGGATGTCCCGTTGCGCAGGCTTTGTCAGTCCACACTCCTATATATAGGTCCTTCTAGCTCAGATTCAGTACAGAGATTATTCCGTTCTATTCATTCTCCTCTTCTCTCTGGCATTCTTATAACCCTAAGCCCCTACTCGATAAAAAGGAATCTCTGGTTGATAGGAGGTAGCACCTGTGCTATAGAAGATAAGGTGATAGGAATTATCAGGAAGGGTTCCTAAAAAGGTTCCCCACCTTATCTCCTCTGAATAGATGCTTGGAAATACTATCCTATCATGAAGCCCAGATAGTAGTATTACTAAGAAAAGTTCACACGAACAGACTACCGGGGTAGGCACGAACGAGATAGCTACAAAAAGTGTTCTGATTATCCCCGGGGCCCTCCCTCACAACTTTGGATAGTAGTTATATGACTCCTATAAGGGTCTGCCTTATGATGGAGTATAGGCTTTAAAAGTCCCCTTGATTATTAGTATTGATCCAGGAACCCTGATATGCTATAGGCAGTCCAGGAATATCACTTACAAGGGTAATATTATCTGACTATAATCACTAATCGGCATATTATATGCTGGTGGAACTTCAAGTTTATTGTATTAACACCGACTAGTACTCCCACAAGTATTCTTTTTACAACAGAAAGCTACCCAGGGCTCTTCATGAAGACCATAACAGAGGGTTATTATAGCTCACGCTCAAGGCCCAGAGTATTCCTGACAACGAACCTGGCAAAATGCCATGGCCCATCTCTCAATAGAGATTCTGTTTGCTTTTATATTTGTAATATACTCCGGTTAAGACTTTTTTAATGCCTTATATAGCTACCACAGAGAATCACATAGTCAAACAAGGGCCTTTCCCCAGAGAGGTTGGAAAAGTCCAACCCCGGAACAAGACCCCTTCTCAAAAGAGAAATTGAGGAGTATTCTGAGAGGGCCTTGAATTTCTAAGGGCATAACCCCCTTTTCAAATGAATTGTGAATCCTACCAGTGCTTGCTGTCTTGACTCAACTTGGTGAGAACAAGATATCCTTTTACTTCTCTTTTTTTGACGATTGGAAAGATCAGTTGAGATCAACATTAACTGAAGAGACATTTCTATAGTTATAAGAACCATAGTAGCATAAATTACTATTCTATCATTGGTATTTTATAGTGAGAGAACCACGTCGTGTGCAATATAAGGCATCTCCGCATGCCGCCTATGGTGACTGTCATATAGTAGTAGACTTGTTGAGTCAACATTCAGCGCACCGCAGGCTAGAAAGCAAAGCAAAGCAGATTCACAGATTTAGAATAGAAAAAAGCAAGTAGCAAAGCAGAGGAAGGCAACGAAACGCCGTGTCGTCAAGACTCGACAACTTTCCCCCTTATCACTGATCTATAAAGCCCCAAGGCTTCACAGCCCAAAAAATTAATAGCATGTCCTGGTTTCGATCCAGGGTCCTCCGGGTTATGAGCCCGGCGCTCTTCCCCTGAGCTAACATGCTTGTTGATTGGTGGAATAAAGTTCGTTTTTGTGACTCATAAAGGTTGAGCAACGGGCGGGTTGTGTGGTGGATCTTTTGTGGAACTTCGGAGCCCGAGATGGAACACGATTGGTGGTTTGCGTCGGATAAACTATGGTCCGGGCTAATAGAGGCCTAGTATTCTGTCTGTTAATATACACAGTATTACGTTGTGTTTTCTTTGATATGACCTGTATCCGAGTCGGACGAGCACCGTCACGAGCGAAAATATAGGGGTTATTGGGTAATTTATGGTACAAACACTTGTTTACCAACTGATCACAGTTTTCGTCAGTCAAGATGGATATTAGATAGGGATATTGAAGCTCAGATCCTCTTTGAGACCGAATACTAGGAATTATTTGTCCATTGAGTAGGAACAGTCCAAATTTCGAGAGGATGTTTTGGTCTTCGTACTGATACTGGCCTGGTGAATATACTTGGTCCAGTACGCTTGGAAAGCATAGGCAACAATTAAAAGATCCAGCTTCGAAATGGGGCGTCGTTGTTCTTTGTATCCTAGTCTACGAACCATTGTAAGTAATTCCATTTTCGGCGATGTTGAGGAACGCTCATGTTCAATGGATGGCTGCTCCCCCGAATTAGATCGGATGTTTGTTTCTTCCGTGAAAGAAAGATCAGCGGGATAACTCTTCAACTTATTTGCATTTGTCTTTCTTCAGAGAGATACAGATAAAGTCCGCTGTGTATGCAAGGTGTCACTAGACATAGCAATGGCGTGACGGGCAGGGGCACTTGAGATTATGCGAAAACGTGAATGGCCGGTCGGGCTATTATACAACGCACTCTCAAAAGGGAAGCTCATATATGGCTCGTTTTGGATTCGTATCATTATCAGGGGCAGACGGCTTGGCCTGGGATCCGCAGAATTTGTACTGACTGGGCGGCCAAAACACATGTTACAGAGTGGAGTGAAGACGAGCTGACGATTGCTCTCAGGAAATTGGCCGGGCATTAGCTCACCTAGACATTTCTATTCTTGTGAGTACGCAGAGGCTGATCATAGGCCTTGGCTTCAAGGCCGGGATTTTTTATCAGATGTCTTGAGCTGCGCAATATTTTCAGCGAGGTTGACGCCTTCAGGCCAAGACCGTGAATCTCCAAACTACTAACTAGTAGTTGGTGCTTCTTGAAAGCTGACTTGGTGCTACCTAAGAAGTAGTAGTAGTGTTTGGTATTCAAGATCCTTCTTAGTTCCTTTAACAGAATACAGGAAATTGTGAATGGGAATGAAAGTTCGATAGTATTTTCGCGATGTGTATGAGATGCTCTTAATATACAAATTCAAGCGCCCTGCGCCATCGGACCACCTGGCAATGCGAATAGTATAGTACAGGTATAGAAAACAATATTATAGTACAGGAAGCACATATGTCTTGGCTTCATAGAAACCGAAGCTTCAAAATTAGATTCAAACCTTGGTCTCATCGGACTTGGTCTCAACGTCAGGCTTGGCCTCAACATCAGGCTTGGCCTCAACATCAGGCTTGGCCTCAACATCAGGCTTGGCCTCAGTGTCGGGCTTGGCCTCAGTGTCGGGATTGGCCTGAAATTCAGACTTGATCTCGGATTCAACAACTTCAGGCTGTTGAGAAGACTCCAAAAACCTATCCCGTTTCCGCAGCCTATTCTTCCTTTTGGGTAGCCACTCCATATCGTGCTGCAAAAGCTCCATCTGCTGCTCATCAAAAGCGATCCGCTGCTCCAGAGTCGGGTGGATCGAGCCGTTCCGTACACGCTCGATGGTAGCAAAGTCAGAGTACGTCTTCAGCATTTTCGATTCCGCAAGAAGGATCTTCCGCTCGGCCTTGGGGACGAATCTCGAGTATTCAGACTTGAGCGTCTCGCCAATCACTCTGCGTGTTTCATTCAAGATACCGAGACAAACATAGCCGTCTATCTTAGTTTGTTTTTTGTGTCCGGTTTTTTCTTTAAGAGAATCCCAGCGGGTCTTCCGGCCGACCTTGCCTTTCTGGATAGCCTCATGAAGCTGGATCACATGGGGGCGCAGTGTGGCCAGAGATTGCAGACGCAGATTCGTCAGTAGATGCTTGCCCAATGCTTGCAAGGTAGCATTCTTGGGAATTTCGCCCAGACCGTCCATGTCCATGAGAGATTGTGGATCCTCGCTCAATGTCTCGATGAAGCTCTGATACCCTTCGAGGACTCGGGGGTCGGGAAGAACCCAGGATTTGCGCAACATATCCAAAAGCTCACTCATGAGGGCGAGAATGTGTTTGTTGCGGCGGTCACGACGGCAGGTCGCGAGCGCAACGTGGAAAACATTCCCACCTGCAAGACGAGCGGGAAGCAATTGCTCGCGAATTGTTTGCACGGCAATTTTGCTAGATCGTGTTTGACGAAGGAGACGCATAAACATCATGGTGGAGACTTCATCGGGCTGGACGCGGAGTGTATCTGGCCCTTTGGTCAAGAAATTCCAATATTCTGGGCCCTGGCCAGATCCTTGAGTCATATTGAAACAGGCTGTCAGAATCATGGTGAGATCCTTGTTGTCGGGCTTAACAAGTTGTGTTTTTTCGGCCTCGGTAGCGACAGGTTCGGTGGCGACGGGTTCGGGAACGACGGGCTCGAAAAGCGAGTCGAAATCTTCCTTCTCTTCCATCTCTTCTTCCTCTATCAATGTCTCTTCTTCAATCTTGCTGCGCTCGGCATCTGGATTTATGCGTTTATTGTTTTCGTCAACAAATGGGACATCCTCATGTCTGAAGGGCCCATCCATTTGCGAGATATGATGTTGGGCTCGGTTTTCAGTCATAAGTTTGAGTTCAGCTCGTCGGCGAGAGGCTTTGATGTTTGCTGTCGGCTCCTTGACAAGAATAGGAATTCCCATTGTTTGGTTGTACAGAGCGAAGATATCGTAGAAATTGCTGTCGTGAACACCATCAAGAAGGAGGTAGGCCATCGAATTCACAAGCTGGTTATTGAATTCCAGACCATTCTCTCTCCATTGAAAGACAACGTCAGCCCATATTCTCTTGCCTTCAGTGATCATCTTGTCTTGGCGCGCAATGATTTCATCGATCTGACTGGCGTCCATTTTTTGGATGTCGCTCCGGGCAGAGTGCTGGAGGGCAGCTAGAATGATACTATATGTTCTCTCGTCTGGCCTTTCGTTCCCTTCGTCTGGCATTTCCCCGGCAATCCGCCAGAGAGAGTCCATATCGCCATGGCGCTGGCATACTCCAAGCATGGCATTTGAATGGATGACGTTGGGTTTGGTCTGTGACTGCTTCGAAAAGATCGATCGATATATAGATTCGGCCTGTCGTACAAGCTGGTGAGATTGGGTCTTGCCCGATTTGGCAGGATGGGAAGATTGCGGCTGATTGGCGAAGCCCTGGAGCATAATTGTATACGTTTTGGCGGTTGGCATTTGGCCGCGTTTTTTCATCTGTAGGGACAAGCAAGAGCTGAATCAGTGACAAATTCTCCTTAATGTAAAAATGGCGGGCAATATCTTCCTAAGGCATTCGCGGGAGCTTAGGGTTGGGAATCAACTCACATCATTGTAGAACTTGAACGCAGCATCTGGCTGGTGCTTTTCCATGGCATATCGCATTAAGTGGTTCCACGCTCCGTCGCATTTCATTTTTCTGCGCTGTGCCTCTCGAGTCAGAGCGGCAGCTTGTGCCAGATTGTCTGCCTTCAGGAGACGCCCGACTCGATCTACCAGATCTCTGGGGTCGGCTACCCATTTCAACTCCATCGCGATTGACTTGTTTGTGAAGTTGGACCCAGTGGTTATCGTCGCAGAGGCAATATCCATGATCGTCTGTTCCTTTGATTTGGGCTTGTGGTCGCCCTTCCCCAGGTTTTCGTCGGCATTGTCTCGACCGCGAGGCGATGGGGCCGGCTGCGAATGAGGTGAAGGCTCGGTCTCGGTCTCGTTCTCGGGGTCATGTTCGAATGGTATAGATTCGTTGGCAGACGTTTCCAAAGAGAAGGATCGCTGAACTTGTGGTGAAAGGGCTCTTCGTGCGAGGCATTTAGCGGTAGCAAACGCAAGCTGCGGACGAAGTTCTCGAGTGCGCAGGGCTCTGCTCAGGACAGAGACCGGAAGTTGACTTGCCATCACCAGGTTTGAGGTCTGGTATCAGGCTATTGATGAAATGTAGGTCACAGAGTGTATGTTCCAAAGAGCAGACACTGGAAAACTCCAGTCTGTTTTGTCGCGCCGGAAGTCCGCAATAATTTCACGGAGGTCTTTTCTGCTAGTCCCAATCCGGTTAGATTCATTTCACGGTAGATCAGGTATTCTCACGTGATATAGACACCTGAGGCTTAGGGCCACATGGTGCGGCAAGACTAACCTCAAACAGTTTAACTTGCAAGGGGACCTGCGGGCCGCTAGTAAGCCCTACATTCTACATGTACCAGTAACTTATTGCAAGATTTACAGTACTAGTTCCCGAGTCTCAACTGCGGTACGCTGTGATCTGCATTAGCCCGAATCTGGGTTTGGTGCTACTGCACAACATACTCCTAACCATGATACCGTCATTCAGATGCATAACATCCCAAAGGCTGCTCTGACTAGACGAGGATTAGAGGCGGTTGATAAAGCCACCGGACGAATGGAAATAGCCTCCGGCAAAATATGTTTTCTGAATCCACTGAATGAATGAGATTTCAACCTAATGAAGTCCAGTTGACCTGCCGCAGAAAGTACTACCCCTGCTCATGCACCTGGGCACGAGGTTCGAGAATCGTAAGTCAAATATCATCCGGAGGTCGAAAATGGTAAACTTGACAGTTCATGCGGGTCACTCTGGTACATTGAAAGACATCCTCGAGTTACATGCCCTTTGTTATGAATTAGTAATTATCCAGACCAAACATCAGCCCATGTACTAATTATCCATTGGGAATAGTAAGCACTAACTATAAGTTCAAGTTGCCAGTAACGCCCAGGACCGGGGAATAAAGACAATGCTCAATAGCGAAATTCAACCATTGAAACCCTTCTGATTTCCCCAAACTCTAATTACTATCAAGCACCGCTGCAAGAATATCTCATACATCTCTACTATATCATACGATCTCGAAGTCGTACCAAACACTCTCGTGATCCTCGACCAGTACCCACCATTTCGGACGCACCCAGACCGATCAACCACACCATAACGAGCATTTTAATCAACAATCCGCTCAAACAAACGCCTTTTCAACCTCACAGGATCTGCAGGAAACTCTCGCCCCACGTGATGGCAGCCACACTAGCCCCAATTGAGGAAACGCCAGGATCCCATCCAGAACTGCGCCACGGGCATGGTGCGTGTCGTGTACCTGTACACCGCAGCTTACTTTTCAATCACATCTGTGACTAGCCCCGTCACAGTACTACAGCCGGACGAATCCCAGCTCGCATGTGGCCCCATTACTGTATCACCGAGGAAGAAAAGAGCTTTATTCGATAATATAATCATAATATTTTTTTCTCTTCCATTTTCAAACATCCATGCAGTCAGTGATTATGCACCTTCAAATAATTTACCCATTGCTTCCTCCAAATTCGAAAAAGGTATAGTAGTTCAAAGCTGCCAAAGTACCATGATTAGAGAGATGCCCATAAACAGAACCATCCTAGACCCAGTCCCAAAAAAGCAATCATGGCTAGCCCCAACCTCATTCCGCACAGATGTCTCAGGCTCCAAAGCCACTGACGCCAATCCCGTACCCAAGCCACAGTCCCATGAAGCCAGCCCTGGGTCCCTTCAAACTAAGCTATGTATGTACCCAAATACAACCTAATCCTATCTGAGAACAGCGTTGTACCACCGCCACGACATGCTCGATATTATCCGCTAGTCATAAGCCCGTATTTCCCACCCCACGAAAATCCACATTGCCCAGATCAGTCCAGCCCTACGACGCTTATTTTGTCCGGGTTGGACAAGTTCGCCACTAGCACTCAAGGCTTGGTCCGAGTCTTTTAAGCTTTACGCTTTAGACTATGTTTTATTTTACTAGCGCTGGATAATAACCCACGCCCACCATGCCCGATCCCGCTAGCCTGGCCTATGACCGAGGATCCGAATTTGTGGAGAATGCCGCCGAGCTTTTAGTCTGGGATTTATCTAGGCTGACGTTTTACCCGGATCCTGGGACTGGGGGTGGACGGCAAATTTAACCTTATTTGAAAAGGGAAAAAAAAAATCGAAAATTCAACCAGAGTCTGGGACGCTAGTGGGAGGTGGCTGTGTGGATGTCTTGCTGCCCGACACTGTCTACTTTGCTGGGGCTTCACACCTAGTCTTGGTCACCGTTTGGGGACTTTGTACTTTTTACAAAGGAGCTATATGATGGAAGGTGAAGGAGTGGATCACTGGAGTCTTTTTTCTTCGCTGGAAATTGAATTGAGGAGTACCAAAAGCACCTGGCAATGATGAATACAGTCCAACCGACTATACACAAGTCCATAGGGTACAAGAATACATTCCAGACCTAGACAGCCCAGACCAGAGCATACGAAACACGGAACAGAAGAGCTCGAAGAGGAGAGGATGAAGCAGGAAGAAGCAAGGAATAACCTGCCAGTAGCAAACTTCCATACGGAGACATAGAAACATAGAAACATAGGACATAGGCAAACAAACTGAACATGATTAACAACGAAAGCCCGCCCAGAACAATATGGGAAATAAGGAAGAGAAACTGCCCCCACTTTGGGAGGGGGGGGATATGACCACGCGGTTGAAAGAGATGAGACGAGGAGAGAGGATGAGAGGGAGAGAAAAAGAGATATAATCAACAGGACGGTACAAATACTGATGCATAAAAAGTAAGTCCGCCACCTAACCGATTTCCTGCGGTCACCACACCCTGGAGGTAAACGGGCAAGCCAGAAGTGAAACAGACAGACAAAACAACCCTCCCCCGCTTCCACAGGAGCTGGATGCACATAAGACTCTCTAATAGACGAGAAAAAAAAGAGAATTTTTTTCGCAGAAACAAAGCCAGAAAGACACTCTCTTTGACTGGTTAGATTAAAGCCGCAAGAGGTTTGGTATCATCGAGGAAAGAAGACTTGGAGAGAGGAAAGGAATGGAGAGATGGGGGTTCAGAGGGGGTTCCGAGACGACATGAGTCAGGCAATGGGATATCGTGATTAGAAGACCAAAAAAAGCGACAAGACAGGAGATAAGAAGGAGATGGATGCAGAGTCCGTTCCACAGCGTAGGAGTAAAGCGAATTATGTAATTATTGCGGGTAGCCGGTCGGTTGAGTCTCTGGAGTGCCATGGCGAGTGGGCCAAATAATCAGCCAACCAGTCCTGGAATGGGAGTGGGCGTGGGACTGAACGGTATGGACCGAAGCAGTAGGGGAGGGTAGAAGAAATCCATGAGTTCCATCAATAGGAGGAATCGCAGGTCCTGGCAGAGAAACAAATGGCGCGACATGCTTTGGTGTTCGTATGTTTTTTTACTCACGTTGCTGGTAGACGGGTCCGGTCTGGTATGGAGAGTGAGGGTAGTTGGGGTTGGGGGGGGTAACCCATTTGTCCGTTGCTCTGGTAAACCATTCCACCACTGGGAGCACCATACTGGCTAGGGACTTGGCTGTCTGCAGGTTGGTATCCGATGGGGGGAAGCTGAGGGCGGACACCACCACCGTAAGCCGGAGGTTGTCCCTGTGAGGGGTCGGGACCAGGGCCATCGACTTGGCTAGCTTGCGCCTGAGCGGCGACACGCTCACGGTCCTCGGCAGCCTTGCGCGAAGCTTCTTCTTCCTTCTTGCGAGCCTTCCATTCCTTGCGAATCTCCTTGAATTCTAGAGAGGCAAAAGTCAGTATGGGGTAGGGGAATGGAAATCAGAAAGAGAAAGAAAAAAAAAGGCCCGAAAGAATCAAGCGAGACAAGCAGCAAGGGCGTAGTGAGCAGATCATGGCGTGGTAGAAAGGGATGGGAGGCAAGCTTAACCAAGCTTAACCTTCCACGCCGTCGTCCACGCTACTGCGGCCCCGCGAGATCTAGTGTAACTCGCTAGCGTGCAGGTACCGGCGCTAACCCAATCCAGCGATTTGCGACAACTTCGAGGATCTTGCGACCAATTGTGTCGCGGGAAAGAGAATAAGAACAGCTGTTTAAGACTCACCTTCAGGAGTGCGCTTCGCACCGTGCGATTGCATTGTAACATGAGCGTTCAAGTGGTTCAGAGTACCATATGCCTTCTCACAACCGTTCCACCCACACTTGTACATACGCTCAATCTCCTCGTATCGACGACGGGGGCGCTTGTGTTGCTGTGCGCCAGGAATTGGTACGAATGAGTAGACCTATTTGATAGATAAAATAGATCGTCAGACAAGCAGTTCGGTTCGAAAAAAAAAAAAGCCAGGCAGATCTCATTCGAAACACAAGCGACACAGAGAGAAATGCTGTTTTAGACGATCCCTGGGACTCGAATCGATGCGCATCTCATCGGGTCGAGTCCAGAAGCGCCCAAGACAACGATAATTACAACAGAAGCCTTCGGAGATACGCTGGGATCGTCTAAAACATACCTGACCAGGGCGCGGCCCTGCGGCCGTGGTGGGAGAGGCAGAACCAACCGTTGTAGCGGGAGAAGCATAGGGACCCGGCATATGATGCCCCTGGCCGTAATGCGGTGGCCAGTCACGGGCGTACATCTGGTGTGGAGGGGGCGGGTGGCCCTGATACTGAGCCATCTCGTGGCCTCCCTGGGGCTGGTAAGGGGAGTAGGGGGGAGGATAGGTCGGGCTGTTGGCCGGGAGCGAGGGATCTAGAGGAAGGGCGTCGTCAGACTTCAAGTTCGGGAAAATGCGCGAGGTCGCAGGTATGGGCATGGACGAGAACGGACTTGTTGCTTGGGCCATACCGGGCGCACCAGCAGGTTGAGAGTTCGGAGCGTAAGACTGAGCGGGGCGCGGAAGGTAGTCTTGGTAAGCGGGCGAGCGAGTTGGAGGCGGATTGAGACCGTAATCTGGCTGGGGGGTGTTGGAGGATGAAATATTGGCGGGTCGAGCCTCGGGTTGCGGCGTGTACTGGGGAGTCGAGCGGACTTCCGGTTGAGGAGTGTGAGTGTAGTGAGCAGTGGCAGCAGCCGAATTTTGGTCTGCGGGAGGTTGTTCAGAAGGTGTGTCGACAGGCGGTGCTGGTGGGTGGTGCGAACCTGACTGTGCGTACTCGGAGGTGGGCCGGTTGTCCATATAAAACGGTGGGAAGAGGAGTTTGGTCGCGCGCGCGCCGAACAAATTCCTAGGGGATTGGCGCGTTCAAGGCTAAAACGCGTCGACTTAGTTTTAGGTTGGGAGGGAGATGTGACGGTGGTAGTTGTGGTAGATGAGGAGGAAAAAGGTAGGTGAAGATGGGGGGAGGAGAAGAAGCGGGAAGAGGAAGTTGGGGAAATGTGACAAGTTGGGGGCACGTTGCAAGCAAGGGACTAAACGACTCTAAGGCTCGCCACGTTGGATTGGATTGGATTGGATTGGATTAGGGAAGGTGGCACATACAAGTTCAGAGAGGTCGAAAGGTCGAAGGTGAGAGGTGAAAGATGAAAGGCTGAGAATCGTAGAGGGGAGAAATGCAGATCCCAGTCGTGTGGAGATAAAGCAGGACTTGAAGGGATCGACGCGTAGTAGTCACAGGCGCGTTCAACGAAGCCCCGATGCTTAAATCTTAGTTCGGTTAATTTTTTTTCTTTTCTTCTTTTCCCAGTGGTTTGAGGGATTGCAAGGGCGGTCAGAGCATCAAAAGACGGAAAGAAAAGATGATTGAAGAGGGGAAAGAAAAGGAAGATTGGACCTAAAAGGCCGTTCGGCAGCGCTGAGGACGTCCTCGTGGGATCCGAGGATGCGGTGGACCCCGGTGGAGTGGCGTATTTTTGGTATTACGCGATAAAACGAGGCCGATTATCATACTGCAGTGCAATGAGTGCAATGTACTGCACTCACTGGTGATTACCATGATTCTCAGTTAATATTCTACCTCTCTACCTAGGTATTGAGTTGAGTATAGTATGAGTATCTTGAGTATGTATCTTGAGTATGAGTAGAGTAGAGTATAGTACCATACCGCCCAGGTGATTTCATGAGTAATGTATTATCAATGAAGATGGAGACTCCCTCAATGCTGAATCAAGAATAATAATTATATTATATAATTATCACGATTATGATAATAATAATTAGAATTAAATATAAATATAAATGAATCTTATTCTCTCTTCGTACGGGCCCATTCCCATTTCTACACAATCCTCCGACTGGTTTGGCCCCCTTTCCCCTCACACCGGCTAAGTGTTCCATTTTCCGTGTGATCGGGGGGGGGGGGTTTTCCTTTTTTTTCTTTTTCTTTTTTTTCTCTGCGGATCCCAGGAAAAGAAGGGGGACAAGAAAATGAAATAAAAAGTGGCGAAAATGAGTACAGTATTTCTGTAAAGCATTGATGTTGGTAAAATATTATTTCTTTTCTTTCCCATCATTGGCAACTTGAATCCTCAATTTCCTGAAGTAAGAACAAAGTAGATGTACACTTCCTTAGTGATCTTAGTCTTACTAGTGGTGATATGATTTAGCCTCCCATCAGACTAGTCTACCCGCAATTCGGGCGCGTCTCACGACGGTGAACCTAGCGTCTACGCTCCGTGGGTACTAACCAAGATCGCTGTGACGGGCGATGGACGATGCGGGTGGTCAGGGGGGGAAAACAGAGGAGGGGGAGAACCGGCGCTAACACGGATTGGAGTCAAACCAAGAGGCTGCTAGGAATGGCGTGCCCGAGGAACCTCAACGGGGGGGGGTGTAAAAGTGTGTAAAGAGTGGAAATGGGTGGAAACGAAGCCCAAAGAAGAATAGTCAGGCAGCGGGCCCGGTGCAACTAAGGGAGAACAGGGGATAGTGCAGGCCGGGGGAAACAGAAGCGACCCTCGGGAGGACCAGGGCTAGCGTGGACGGTGGAGACGGTTTTTATTTTGGTTTGTTCCCTAAATCGGTTTAGTTGAGTGGGGTTACTTTTAGGGCCAAAGCGAGAGAGAGCCGAGGCGGTTGAAGCCGGTTTCCTGATGGGTTACATTATGATACATACCTAGGTGGTTGTACATATTCCCTACGTACGGAGTATACTATGTTATAATCTATACTAGTAGAGTTATAAAGTATACTCTAGAAGCATAGCTAGTTATAGTTACGGTAGTATAATAGTATAAGACATAGAACTTGTAACCCTACAAGGTAACTCGGACATCTCCTGTCTCGCATTAATGATGTACTCGTACCAGACGATACCCAGGAACGCGCCGGTGGAGCCAAACAAATCCCCACCCACCGTGATCGGAGGCTATCTGGGCTCATGACACCTCTAGGTTTGTATCGCTCGGATCAAGCACTACGGGAAATTAGGACGACATCTTATTGTCTTGATTATTGACCTGGGTAGGGCTTAACGCCGGAGGATCCCGCAATGACCATGGCCGAGTAAAATCCATACAACCTGCCTTCTCTGCCTATGCATGTCTATGCGTGTAAAAAAGAAATGAAAATAATGAAAAATGATAATAAAATTAGAGAAAATAAAATAATGATCAAAGAAAAGCAGGGAATAGGGGGGTCCCCACCAAGGCGATTCGCCCTCATTCAAGTTCGTGCTGATACTTTCTGATAGAGGTGTGCTACCGTGGTTCCCGGCTTTCCCCTCTCTCTTTACCTAAGGACTTGGACATCGGTCACCTATCATACGACTCACAGTAATTATAGTATAACTCTGTAGTATCTGGTCTCCATCGTAAGCATCGCAAAGGGGAAAAGGGGGAAATAGAGACCTGAGAATCGTTGCACGCCATTGGTCATCGCCCCGACCACCCCCCGACCATGCCCCGTTCTCTACCCTAGGGTACCCTAGATACTCTCCCCCATCTCTTTCACTGTCCGGTTTGGACTCTCCAGATTCTCGTGACCATCTCGCACCCACTCTCGTAAGGACCATTCCCATTATACACCGTAGGTACGAGAGAGAGTCCGCGTCTCCTCCCCTTCCCGGGTCCAACAATCGCCCACCGGCGGAGCATCGGCGGCTCTCCGGACTTTTGACTTTTTTCGCCATTCACAGTACAGGGCAACCTCGTGAAAATAAACGAAAAGTGGATCCGGTCAGGACCAGCACACCTTCGATGGCCCTGCTGGGCCCTCAGATAGGAAGAAAACGGGGTGCAGAACAATGCAAGGCTCCCACCGCGGAAAAAGGCAAAAGGGCCAGCTTGCTTCTGTTTCGCCCGTTCGCTTCTTGATTGGTTCTCACTCACACATACTGAGAAATTTATCCACCCACGCCGTGCAGGCGGACTCGGTTCATCCACTCACTACCGGTGAAGAGAACGAAAGGAACAGAACAACGCAGAAACAGCCGCCCCCAAAATTAAAGGGGGGGGAGGGGAGAGGATCGGAGATCGGAATTACCTGGACCGATTGCCTCATGCATTACTCCGTACAATCAATCCGAATTTCCCATGTTTGCCACGAGTGAATACCGTAAATGCCTCATGGCCCTGACCAACCCGCTTTTATTTTCATTTTCATTTTTCCTTTTCTCAGTCATGGTCGGCAATCTGGTACATAAGAGTCCCAGTCTCCGCTATCGCGGCCGCACAGTGGGCCAGTCCGCGGAGAGCGCCGTGCCAGCGTGATTGAGGGCCCATACGGGATATCCGGACACTGTTCCGGGATGATCGATATCAAATTCATTTGGCGGTCCAGTCATTGGACGCCGCAGCCGCATCGTGCTCCAGCGCGCGGGTTGCGTCCAGCGTGGCCTCACTCCGAGTTCCCAGTTTTTTGCATCTGTATCTGTATCTGTATCTGTATCTGTATCTCTGGACGGAGCACGGAGAACAGCACACTGGCCGAATCTGTGCTCCGTATCGAGTACGACTGACGAGGGCGGAGGACTCTGGACCGGTTTGTTTCTACTCCATCTGTCAACTCATGCGGCTGTTTACGCAAAGAGTTTGGCATTCAGTATCAGGAGCGAAGTATGATGTATGTACCTCACCCCTTGCTCTTAGGGAGGTCCCCCCGTGTAATTTGCTTTTCCCCCTATATATGTGCCCTTCTATTATTATGTACATTACATACCTCCTGTAGGTCAAAAACCCCCCCTGCATCTTAACGGTCACCGTTAGTAGAGGCGCTTTCCGCGGCTGTGGCTTCGATGCATAGAACAGAGTTCCATTAGTGAGTAGTGCTTGCAATCCCACTCGTAAATCTACTAGTAGTCTCCGAATAACATATTCCCGTAGCGTTCAGGAACGGACGGATCAAATCGCGCCACGGCTATACTCCGGAGAAAACGGCCAGAGCCTGCGATCCGCTGTCCAGCTGCACTGGACACAAGCTGGGACAAGCTAACGGTAGCACGTTCGCGTTCCCCAGAACGCCTCTGCTCTGCTCTGCCCTGGGCCAGGATGGGGCTAGCACTAGCCTCTGGTAGCTTCGTGGCTCTGTTTAGGTACGGTTTGGGACCTCCGTCCAAGCTGGCCAGCCCATGCACATCCCAGCAGAGCTGGAGCTGTCAAGTCGGGTACCTTGCCCACCTCTTGCCGAAGGAGATGGCCCCGTGCTCAGGGTAAAGTTGCGAACCCACTTGGCGCACTTGGAACACCTGCTTCTTTTCCCTCTCCACCCGCACTGGCCAAGTGCGGGTGGAGTGGGAAAGGTAGGATGCTACGCCGTACACGGTAAGTCTTACCCGCCAATCCTTCGGCAGATCGAATTAGGCCTCAGAGGAATGGTCGACCGTGCGCCTTGCATCCTAGATGCTGATCAAGTTCAATTCTTCCGGGCCTTTTGCCTGTTTGGCACTGCGACCTAAATCTGGATCCCCCGGCGACGCGGCAATGGGACCGATCTGGTTTATCCTCGGCTTCGGTTAGCCAGGAGACGGAGAGGCAGGAAAGGGGTGCTATATACAAGTAGTGACTGTATAAGTATATGCATCCGCCGGAGTACGGAGTAAAGAAATGGGGATAAGAATTAGGGGGGGAGGTCCGGAGTGGAGATGGGCAAGATTGGACTTCCCTGTAGTACAACTCCGTAAACGTATTTCGCACATGCTGACCAAATCAAAGTCAGAATCAGGATGGCCACTAGGTCAGTCTAGTCAAGGATGCAAATTCCGAGACAGGGGGGGGGTTCAGCAGAGTCAAGTGCTTTTGCGTATGGGATACAAGTCATGTACGGAGTACCCGGTACTTTGTTGACAATAAACTCGAATTAATATTTAATATATTACTGTATACTAGTAATATTACAATATTAATATATGAACGAATACGGCGGGATCAACTTGGTTGAAAAGGGTACAACCAAGTCATAACCCTGGTCAAACACTAAGCCTGGAAAGTCAATGTTTACCATCCAAAGCATACGGTTGGTGGAGTCTCACTAAGCTGGATTTCCATCTGAATGTTTAATGTCCGTGTTTCCACTGTGGCTGCGAACTGGCAATCACAATTGGACTCTTCCTCGAGGCTACCCAGCTCTAGCGACGGGGGTAGAGGTTACATTTTCCATGCATATTCTTCGTCCGCTCCGCGCAGCTGGCAAAAGGCAGCCCGCGCGCGCGACCAGTAGGTGCATTGCATGACAGGGACCGTGTCCAGCTAGCGCATCCTGGACGCGGGGTTCCGGCTGGACGGCTTGCCAAAGTTGACATTGTCGGGATTAGGATACGTAGGCCACGTTTTTTTCCTTGTTCTTGGTATCTAGGATTCGCAGATAGCATGGGATATGCAACACCGGGGGTACATTTGTACCCCCCTGTGTTGTGTCATGAAGAGCACGCCAAGGAATGTTTCTCTCAGGATGGCTGGAAAACCGGGCTGCACCTTGCTCTCTTAGGAACCATCGCCTGTACCGAGCTGCAGATCCAGAAAAGCTTTGGTGCCGATGCATGCATGTCTTTCTCTTCGGCAATCAGCGCGTGGTACTTCACTGGGTGGGAATGACTCGTCCCAATTTTGGGATTGGCATTTTGCTGCAGCTCGTCGGAAATTGGCATTTGTTGGTATCCCTCCAAGGTTGCGGCCCGATCATCGAATATGCGCTGGCAGAGAAAGTCTTTTTATTTTCATCTCTGCCTTTGTGCCACGTCTTCCACAAGCGACTAGCTATGTATTGGAGAGACCGATGTACATGTACATGCATACCATCGCGTCGACCTGTATGCAGTTGGTAAGATTACGATCCCAACTAAACTAAACAATTGCGCAGGCCAAGCTAGCTGTGTCGGGTCTGGGCTGACAGATAGACAAGCGACCGGGTTAACTCTCTATGGAGAAGCTGATTTGGTATCTTCATGATCACCATATGGGGCTTTTTCTGGGTTAGTGAGTAAGTACATAGACCACCTGTCGTGGAACCAGAGTAAAGATACCACTAGCATCCGCACAGCCTCTCTGTGGACCATTCTAAGCATAAGCTTTGGTAGTTGGGGGTACAATCTAGGACCAGTCATACTAGACTGAGCACTAGACTAGATTTGGTTCCTTGTAGGCTCTAATGATGGGAATCGTCGATATACACCTTCCATTCTAATCGTTGGCGAGACTAACCACACTGTGGATCAAAGCTATATGTCACGAACTATAGTTCCAACAGCCACACCACTTGAAGTAATGCATCCACATCAATGATTGTGAACTATAGCTAGTTCACAGGCGTGCTTTAGTCCGATGTTTCAGCCTTACAGGGTTATCGGAGATTTTTCATATCGTCTTTTCGACATCCCATGTCGATCACGAGCATGAGGCTCCTTCGCATACTGGATATAATCGAAAATTCCGTCGATCATGAATAAACTGGCCCTTGGAATATCAGAACCGATTCTCACTGGCAGTCCGACGGAAAAATATAATCCGTCCATAGTACAAATTTCCCCGGATCTGATCGATTCAGGTTCGAGTTGCGGGGTACCTACTAATAGGTATTGGATATATTTCCCACCTGGGCATATAGACACCAGTGGCAGTGACATAAACCCCCAAGGAAGTTTCATTGAGACTTCAAGTTGGAACAATTTTCCCACTAGCAGCTATCACTATCAACCTAAGAACGACATTCTCCAAGGGCTTCAAAATATAGTACGAAACAGCAGAAATGCAGTTGCCCCTCGTTTTATCTTCGTTGTTGCTTCTCATCCCCGTCCGAGCCGTAGATGCATCACCATTTGCAAAACCAACAGACAAATTCCAATGGTCGTCAAAAAAAGGCTTGTAAGTGAAACAGACTCGTATCTCCAAATTCTTTCTGGACAGGAATCTAATACCAAACCAAGGATTGCATTTGGAGATTCATACACCTACGTCCAAGGAACTCACGGACACCAGAACTACAGCTTCGTCGGGGATGCTTTCGATTTTGCCTTCGACGAGCAGACTCTACTCTCCAATAAAATCGTACAAAATCAAGTAACGATTACTCCTTGAACTGAATCCTTCTTTTATCTTCCAATTTGACTAACACCGACACCCTTTCCCTAATTAGACAGCAACAGCAGAAGGAGGCCCAAATTGGGTCGAATATCTCACAAACTGCGGCGTCAAACCAGGCCTAACCTCACCCCGAACCTGCAAAAAGCAACTATGGGATTTTGCATTCGCAGGCTCAGACATTTCTACAGAATAGTTCGTATCCTACCCACAAATCTCTTGAACAGAACTACCTGGTCGTACCAGTAATACTAACAGCGAGAAACAAACCACAGCACCCCCCCTCCACCACAACTTCACCGTCTCCCTCGTAAACCAAACCCTCCAATTCAAAGACTACGCCCACAACCCCTTAAGCAAATTCCTCGCCCCTAAGGACTCCCTAATAGCAATATGGATCGGCATAAACGACATAAACGACAGTTCAAAATACAGTGTCGACTTTCCAACCTTCTACAAAAACCTCACAACAACCCTCTTCACCTCCGTAAACGACCTATACACCCTCGGCTACAGATCCTTCCTCTTCATGAACCTCCCCCCCTCTAGACCGAACACCAGGAAACCAAGCCTCGAGCTCGCCGCATCCGAATGCAACGCAGGTGGGATGGTATAATTCCGCGCTCTCGGACCAAGCGCGTCTATTCGAGCAGGAGAAGAGCGGTGCTGAAGTGAGGGTCTTCGATGCCCATGCACATTTGAGTGAGATTTTGGACCAGCCTGCGAAGTATGGGCTTGTTAATACGACGGCGTTTTGCGCGGGTTATGATCAGCCGGATATTGGGGAGAATTATTTGAGTTATGGGTGTCCGACGCCGTTGGATACGTATTTTTGGTTTAATTCTGGACATATGACTAGCCATGTGCACCGGATTTTGGCGGAGAAGTTACAGGAATGGTTACGAGGTTAGTTAGTGCATGCACCGACTCGGAGGCCCGGGAGAAATGTATAGTTTATTGTTGGCAATTGGGAAACCTTTGCACTGGTATCTACTTGTTAAAGCTTTTTAAAGGTGGAGAAATAGTTCAATGATCAACTTTTCAATATGAACATACACACTTGAGAATGGTTTGTTGATCAGGAGAAGCGACATTGCGCTGAAAATGCCCCCAGAACATAGAAAAACTTTTGCGAATAATCAACATGTATGATTTGGCCACGTGAACCCCAAGCTCTAGGGTTTGCAGAACAGGTGGGATCGAAGATCCGGGGGTGAGAACTCATCGCCAGAAACTCATGTAACCGATTAAAAAAAATCATGTAAAACTGTCTATGACATCGAAAGAAAACGCCGTCCGTACCGAATTACGCGAGAAACGAAGTGAAGCAAAAAGAAAAGGGAGTCTACCAGTGACACAGAGCAGGGCGAGCTCGAGGAATTGCTCATCGGAGGACGCGTTTACCAACGACGGTTACCACCAAGACCGCTGTTGTTGGAGCCGGTCATACCGCCACCACCACCACGGCCCCAGCCACCACGGCCACGGCCACGGCCACCCCAGCGGCCGCCACCACCGCCGCCACCGCTGTAGCGGACCATCTCAGCAAGGCGAGGATCGATCTGTTGCTTGGCCTCAGAAAGAATGGTGACCAAGTCACGAGCCTGCTTGGAGTCTGGAGAGAGATTATGGTTAGATATCGCATGGACAAGGGTTTAGAGGAAGGAAAAGGAAACATACTGTCAGTGGTGAAGAACGTGATGGCGGTACCCTTAGCACCGGCACGACCAGTACGACCGATACGGTGAACGTAGTCCTCGGAGTTGTTGGGGTAGTCATAGTTCAACACGTGAGTAATGTCGCGAACATCTTGAATACGTTTTCGTTAGCAAAAGATCATTAGTTGGGTAATAATATGGTGATGGCCATAGAGGGCCCCTTCTCAGTCGTGCAGGACTGGATGCATCACTGCTCTCTTCGGGGGCATTTTCCAAAAGAAGAAATCCAAAAGAAGAAACCCCGGACAAAAGGAAGCGAGTCCATGAGGTGACGGTAAATCGTGGTCCTAGAGTAACCTTGGAAATAAATGCAGCTTGAACAGATCAGGAACAACGGTTGAGATACGAAAACTCCAACTCTCTTACGAGTTGCTGCCACAAAGGAGTCGGAGAAATCCTGTCAGGAACTGCTGTCTGCTACGCTGCACTGTGAGTCCAAGGTCCTCCTGGTATGGTAACCATTTGAGATGACCTGAAAGTCCGCCTGGACGAGTCGTGTTTAAACCAACACACTTCAAGAGAGTTGAGCACCGTGCCATTTGCGTCGTACAAGATCACACGGGTGAGTTTTTTTTTTAAGGGTTCCTCAAGGGGGGACATGGGGGAATTTAAGGGAGGAAGGAAGGGGTTGTAGTTTGTTCATACCGATACCACGAGAAGCCACATCAGTGGCCACCATGATGGGGCTCTTGCCCTGCTTGAACTCGTTCAAGACCCAGTCACGCTCCTGTTGTTGCTTATCACCGTGGATGGCTAAAGGGAAGAAGAGGTTAGAAAATTTCATCAGGAAAAGGAAAGGTTGGAGTTTGGAACATACAAAGCGCGGGCCATCCATCTTGACGGAGGAAACGAGTGATCTCGTCAGCGATACGCTTGGTACCAGTGAAGATGAGAATCTTATTAGAGCGGTCCTCCATGATCTTCTCCATGTGCTTGATCATGCGGTCACGCTTCTCGAAGTCGGACATGACCTCGACGATCTGGGTGATACGGTGGTTGGCAGAAAGATCCAGGGAACCGATGTTGACCTGGATGTAGTCGTTCAGGAAGTCAGAGGCGAGCTGACGGACCTCCTTAGGCCAGGTGGCGGACCACATGCAGGTTTGACGGTCAGGGCGAATCTGGCCAATGATCTTGCGAATTTGAGGCTCGAAACCCATGTCCAGCATGCGATCAGCCTCATCGAGAACCAGGTAGGTGACACGACGCAGGTTGGTACGGCCAGCCTCCAGCATGTCAATAAGACGACCGGGGGTGGCAATGCAAACCTCGACACCACGGGACAGATCACGGATCTGAGGTCCCTTGGGGACACCACCGTAGACACAGGTGTTGCGAATGCGGGAGGACTTTCCGAACTTGGTGATCTCGGCCTGAATCTGAACAGCCAACTCACGAGTGGGAGCCAGGACCAGGACGATAGGGCCATCGCCAGGGGACAGCAGGGGCTGAGCGTTGATGTGAACGATAGCGGGAAGACAGTAGGTCAGAGTCTTTCCAGAACCAGTCTCGGCAATGCCGACGACATCACGTCCAGAGAGGGACATGGGCCAACCCTGAGACTGGATGGAGGTGGGCTTGTCGAAACCCTGAGCCTTGACCTCGGACAAAACGTACGAAGGGAAGCCAGCCTCATCGAAGGTCTCGACGGGGCGAGGCACACCGGTACCCTGGATAGCCATCTTGTTTGCGGTGCGGAACTCCTGCACCTGCTCTTCCGAGCGGGCGGTGACATCCTCGTGCTCCTTGTAGAAAGACTTCTCGAACTTGGGCAAGGCGCTGAGGTCTAGACGATTGTTAGTATTTTTGCGGTCAGACAGGGGGGAAACCCGATGAGATTTTCAGCACTTACCCCAGTCTTGCTGCTTGAGACCCTGGCCAAGGTTTGACATGCGGTCACCACCAGCACCTCCAAAACCGCCGCCGCCGCCGTAGCCACCACCACCACCGCCGCCGTAACCACCGCGGCCGCCACCGCCTCCGTAGCCACCACCACCGCCGGAGTAGCCGTTGGAGCCGCCGTTCTCATAGCCACCACCACCACCGTTGCGAGAGCTAGAGACACCGTTAGCAAAAGGTCACAGATCATGGTAAAAAGTGCGCGAGTGCATCGACAGGCAGACGTGGCCGGAGGTACCCGATCTCAGACCAGGCGCAGTCTAGGCTGAATGAGTCGAGAGAACGCTCTCACAGCCAGGTACGCCCAAGGAGAGGGAGGCACACGCCATGTTGCAGACGAAAACGTGACAAAGGGGGTTGATCCCGGAGGATAAGAGACTTACCGGTAAGAATCGCCGCCGCGAGAATAACCACCACCGCCGTAAGACATGATGGAATATGTGTTGTTTTTGTGATGAGGGTAAAGCGAGGGGAATATAAATGGAGATGAGAGGGGGAAGAGAAAAAAGAGAGAACAGGGGAGATTGTTGACAAGGATGAGTTCGCTGAGAACTTGAGGAAGGAACAAAAAAAGACGCCAGGGGAGGAAGGAGGCAAAAAAAAAAAAGTTTCCATATCGGGTATAGCGTGCCACGTGATCCGCTTGGCCGGGTTCCGCGGTTTCGCAACAAAGAAATTTTGTTAAAGTTTGATGGGTGGCGGTGATAGCGTGGAACTCCCGGAGCATAACACTTAACTAATAGTAATGTTGGATATGCCTTGTTGAATTAATGATGAATGATCTGTATAACAATGCCTTCTCTCAGCCTATTTCACACAACACTCTGTATCACTCCTTCTGGTCGCTCAACCCCATATCCCAGAAACGGATCTCCAATTCGGTCGCTCGCATAAAGATCCGGATTAACTCCTCCATGCGACTGGGTGATACCTTTTGCATATGTTTCTCCAGTAGTTCTACCGAATTTGAAATTAGTGCAGCTCCTGGTAAGAGAGGCCGTAGTTGACTTACCGGATCCCAGACGAACAGCCTCTGTATAGTCATCGGCGACATAATTCTCGATCCATTTCAAATATTGGTTTCCTTCTCGGAGAGTAGCTTCATCAGAATGCAGTCGTCTGGCGATGGCACCATATCCGATCAAACAAGGCGCCAGAGCCATTTGTAGCGCGAGCCAATCCTCAGATTGACCCACGTCCAGTATATACCGGCTGTATGCAGTGCATGCTATTTCGAGATGATTAAGTCAGATACTGGAAACGAGGGAAATGAGGCCAAACTTGGAGGGAAGAGCGATGATACTGACCAATGGTTTCCGAGTGAGCCTCGATCTCTGCCTTAGACAGACCAAAAGAAGCACAGTAGTCCAGGTGCAGTGCCATTTCTCGTTGAATGTGCAGTACAATTTGGGCCGACTAAACTTGGAGTTAAATATGAGGAGGCAGGAAGTTTAGAAAGATACTTACCGCGGCAATCGAATCCATCGTCTTTGCTTTGTAAGAGGCAAGCGCGTTGCTTCGGGCGAATTGAACCTATAAATGTTAAACACCTTGTCTCGGGGGTGTGGGTGAGATTTCAAGAAAGGACTCACCAGGTACAGATAATCTTGCACGAGATACTCCTTGAACCGATCCAGGGGAAGCGTACCCTGGCCCAGGCCCGCAACAAACTCGTGATGGGTAAACTTCTGCCAAACTTGCTGAACATCCGGGCGATCCAAAACGTATTCGATGAATCGACCGCTGAAAATAGTCCCTGTTAGCGTATATTCATATGCTTGTGTACCAAGAGCAATCTGAGAGGAGAAAGGAGAACATACGGCGCAAAAGGCATCGTGTACATCGAGTGGAAGTGGTTGATGGGTCCACTTCCTTTACCAAGATCGGTACTTGTTTTAATACCTACTTCAACGAACCGAACGGCGTTGCGAACCGCTCGGATCAGGTCCTTCCCTTGGGCCAGGTTTGCCGCGATTGCCGATGCCAATGAGCAGCCAGTACCATGGGTGTTCTTAGAAACCAAGAACTCTGTCTCAAATAAAGTTGTGGTTTTTTCGTCAACGAGAATGTCAACCACAATGGTTGCATCTTGTGAGTTATGAGCCGTTTTGTGGTCCTTCGTAAGAGGGAGATGGCCACCCTTCAGCAGTACTGCCTTGGGACCCAGCGAACGTATTTGCTTGGCAAGTGAGATCATTCCAGCCAAGTCTGTAGGTTCCGGAGCTTCATCGCCGGCGTCCTTGATCAGAAGCTGAGCCTCCGGAATGTTGGGGGTCAGAACGGTCGTGAGAGGG